TTATTGTGGTTATAATTAACCTTGACTTTTTTGAGCAGGTCATGCATTTAGCTTTGTATTTCGCTCACATATATATATTTAGAATGATTTGCATATTTTATGATCGATCCCTTCAAGACAATCAGTTGCCATACTGTTTATTTTTTTATTTATGGAAAAAAAATTCAAAACTTATATTATACCATAGAACTAATATATAATTGTTTATTCATAATATTATTATTTTTACACTAAAATTTTTACTCCGTAGGTTGTTATTGGTTTTTAAATAATTTTGGATGGTTTTTACATTAATTCAATTAAAGAAATATATTATATATATATATATATATAATATATATATATAATATATATTATATATATATTATATATATAGAGAGAGAGAGAGAGAGAGAGAGAGAGAGAGAGAGAGAGAAGAGAGATTAATGGGTATCCTTGTCATAGGAGGAGATTGTGGCACATAGGCGTCAAGGAGGAAATCCCTCCTATGACAATGATACCCATTAATCTAATATATATATATATATATATATATATATATATTAATATATATAATATATATATATATATATATATATATGATAGCAATATGGATATGCTTGTAGCTAAGCCAAAAAAGTTGTGCTTGGTAGTGAGTTGTCACATCCCCCTCCACTCATTCAAATATGGGAATCACATTCACATGGAGTACTGAGTGGATGAGGATGTGACACATCAGCTACAAGCAAAAAATTTGTGCTTGGTACCAAGCATACGCCATTTCTCTCTCTCTCTGCTCTCTCTCTATATAATAATATATTATATATATATATATATATATATATATATATATATATATATAATATATTATAGATATATATAGGTGTGTTCATTTGCAATTGATAATAATATTCAGAATATTGGCCATATATATCTATCTTCTTCATCACATCACTGCCTTCCCCTGATATTCTCGGTTACCGACAGTTTTATCTCTTTTTAAAACCGACACTCCCAAGTATGTCCTTTACTCGATGGAAAGTAATTAAAGGGGGGAAAAAAATCAAAGACAAAAACTAAACAAAAGAGACTGTTTGTCACATACTATTAACATCTAGCTTGTGCAACATGATTCCTTGTTGTGAACCCTAACCACACAAATTGATCATGATTCGCACTGTAATCCAATAGATAAGAAAATGAAAAACCCTCAAGATATATAAAAACTGGCTTCCAGAGCTCATGTTCCTTTATAGTAAGCTGATGATGCCAACTACTCTTTGGGGTCATCAAATGAACTCTGAGGAAATTAATTAAGCACATGTAAATTTTCATCCTATCTTGAAACCGTTAGAATAGAAAATTATAATCCTGATCAACTGTTACCATAACTCTAGAGTTTTGATGCAGTGAAATGGACTTTGGAGACGTGGAAAGGGTCCTCGACCTTCTTTGTTTTTTGCTAGTTTCAACAAATTTCAGTGTCAGAATATACTTAATAAGAGGATATATAATTATACACTTTTTAATTTACACCTTTTGCAGCGCACTATAAGTTAAGTGCACGCATCATAATATTCATATGCATGTTTTGGTTGTTTGGAGCTCTAGATGCACTCTCCGCGTGCATGCTTTCCAATCTCTGCGATCAAATCAGATGATGATCGAGTATATAATTATTTGAAGTTTCCTAGCTCAAAGCGTCACCCAGTTAGGCATCCAATCCAATGATAAAGTGATCGATATATCTAAGATCTGAGCTAGAAAAAACTGACGTGCAACCTAGGGCATCCGAGCTCGGAGCAGGCCATATGAAGTTGAGAGATTGCGAACTGGCTAATTAATTAGATAAAGTGATCTTTGATTGTGAGTGATGGCCCCAGCAGATTGATTGTAGATATTTTTAGAAGTTGAGGGGAGTGAGCTAGGGGATCATTAAGAGAACATATATTTGTGGAATTAATCGTACTCCTGCTAGCAGTGAATGCAGCGAACTCGCCGATTATAATATCCCAAAGGTCCAAATTATAGTATAAGGCGGGTAACAATTTCTTGTCATCAATGGTACTTTGGGTCTGCTTCCTCAAATTCTTATCAATGAGACACAAGAGTAAATTCCATAGTTTCACTATAAAAATTAAAAAATAAAAAATAAAACAATCGATAACCCCTCGCTCGCATAAAAGCGGTTCTCATGAATCGTGCAGTAGTCGTCCCTCACCACCGCCTCACAAATGTGCTTCTTCATTAATATAAAAAAAAAATCATACGAATTAGGCTATGGCCCATGGGCCTAAGTTATGCCCTCAGAAAACACGACGACTGGGCTCGATCCCAGCACTGTGGCTCCCCTTCTCCTCCCTCCATCTCAACATCCCCCGACCGACCACCCTCCTCTTCCTCCTCCCAACCCTTGTCAACACCAATCTAAACTCCGCCCGCTCCCCGACGAGTACGACCCTCCCATCAAACCACAGCCTCGCGTGGGCTCCACCGCGACACCGTACCCCTCGACACCGCCCCCTCCCCCGCCTGCAAGAAGTCATCCTCCCTCACCACGAACCCCGGGTAATTGAACCCTAGAGCCCCCTTCCCGCCAAAAAGCCCGCATGGGAACCCTCCCCTCCCGCTCACCGCCTTCATTTCCCTCTCCGGCTCTCCCCGTACCCTAACCCGCTTAATAGCCCCGCGTAGTCCTCGTAATTAAGATCGTAACCTGCAGCAGCGTAACCTGCAGAAAAGTATCGTGCTCCGATCAGCTTCCGGTTACAGTTGGATCCGTTGAATCGCGTGAGTCCCGCTCCATTTCGCCGGGATCGGGCCGAACTCGTGATCGGAGAAGCTCGGACTCTCGGGCCAGATCCCGGTATCGACGACGCTAATGATCGAATCTGATCCCATTTTCGATAGATTTGAAAGAATGGAAAGGGGAGGGTCGAGACTGAGGAAGGACGGGCATCGAGTTGTGTGCGGATGAAGGGTGTAATCCTGACAGACGCTGAGGACACCGGGCGATTTCTCGATCTCGAGAGCTAGGGTTAGGGTTAGGGTTAGGGTTGCAGCGAAACCGCGGATTAGGGTTTCATACAGAGTGTGGATCTTTGAGGAGGAGGACGATGAGATGAGAGAAGAGTATCATTCATTGTGGGAATTGAAACTGTCGGGTTTCGTCTGGGGATCAACGATTACTATAAATGTCTTTGGATCGCCGGTCTCCGACGAAGCGGCGGCGGAGCGAAGTGAGAAGAGTAGGATCGAGGAGGAAGAAGAGGAGAGCGTTGAGATTTGGCGGCATCTCTTTTTAATTTATTATTATTTTTTTAGGGTTCGGGTCTGGGAGTGATGTTTATGTGGATCGGATTCGAAAGAGTGGAGCCCACCGGCTTTAGTTGGGCTGAGCCTGGTGATGGATGGTCATGATGGGCATTGCGTCAATTTGAATCCCATAAAGTTTCTATTTAACGCCCATCTGGTTTATTTATTCCATATTACGACTTTGAGGCAACCACTTCAATGGATAATTGACCCGCAATTTGTTAGCCCATTTGGACCCCCGCGCTTCTTGTTTGGGGCGACGATTGAGACCCATGACATTAGAGCATCTCCAACAGCTTTCCCATTTCCTATTTTTGAAGAATTTAGTTAGATTTTTGGTACAACAGATTTCCCATCTCATTCACCAAAATAGGGATGGAGGAGAAAAAAATGGTGAAGCTTCCTCAAATCTGCAGCATTCTCCAAATTTTTGGAGGAAAAAAGAGATTCTTCAAAATGAGGAAGCTGTTGGAGCAAATCTGCAGCATTCTCCAAATTTTTGGAGGAAAAAAGAGATTCTTCAAAATGAGGAAGCTGTTGGAGTTGGTGTAAAAATCCAAATTTTTGGAGGAAAAAAGAGATTCTTCAAAATGAGGAAGCTGTTGGAGTTGGTGTAAAAATAATTTAGAGAATATAACTTTTGTTTCCCTATTTTGGAGAAGCTGTTGGAGATGCCCCGTGACTATTGAAAAAGCTGGATGACACTTAAATATTTTAATTAAGTTATAAAAAACAACACTTTTCATATCCTAAATTATAAATATATAGCATTTTAATATTTTAAATTATATAAAAAAGTTTTGACGTTAGTACGTTCTGTTAGTTGCACAATAAAATATTCTTAGGAATATTCTCATGTGATAAGCATATGACACTTTTGTAATTGTATTAACCCCATTTATTATCATATCCACCACTATAAGTATCTTTCATCTTTTTATTAAAATTTATATTTATTTCTATAGAGGGGTATGTTTGTTATAACAAAGTTTTTTAATGGCATTCATAATATCCTAATGTTAAAAGGTGCGTATTTATGTTCTACTTTTTACAACATATTAAAGTGTAAAGGTGATATAATAACAGGGTATTTAAGTGTCATTTAGCAGTTACTTAAAATCTGGGTAGCGGACTAGGGGGCAAAAAGCAATAAGCAAAATTTGGATATGAAAAAAAAAAGAATCAATTATTTATGTATTAAGAAAATTAATAAGGCGTTAACTTACGTTTCTGTGAGTATTTCAAAAAATAATATAAAAAAAAGGAAAGAAAAATTTGGTTCAGAAACCTCATTTAATCCTTTCCATATATAAAAACATAAGTTTTGAGTTTTCCAAACTTTTCCAAGAAATAGATTGTTTCGCTTTGGTTCGCACAAAAAAATGGTTGGAAAACAATGCATTTATTTTCTTGTGTTTGGTTCGCATGGAAAAAAAAGGAAAAACTTTTGTTTATATGGTAAAAAACCGACGTGGCTGTAGTTTTCGTTGATTTCACGAGGTTGAGGAAGGAATTAGTGGAGAGAAAAAAATCTGATGTGGCGGCGATTTTCACAGAGTTTTCCTTCTTCAACCCTAGCGAACCAAAGATGGGAAAAAACTGACGGAAAACTTATATCCTACGTGGCCACGAAAAATCTGATGTGGAGACGGTGTAAAACTTTTCTACCGAGTTAAAAAACGAACCAAACAGCCTAAAAGAAGAGATAAGGAAAAAAAAAACACATTTTTCATTGTATTATTGCATTTGTGATACACATAATTAAAACGAAACACAAACGACATTAAATATGAGCTGTCACTTCGTTTACCAAAATGAATTGTTATACCCCATAATACTTATTTATCATTAGTAATTAGAATCGAGGCCTTTAATTAAACAAACGCCCTTAATTTCGATTAGGGGAGGGATAAAGACGGAAGACGCGGTACGCGGAGATCAAGGCGACGGGGATCATGACGAGGGACGAGACGCCGCCGAGGGCGACTCCGACGGCGCCTTGGACGCAGAACCTGGGATAGAAATGACACAGCTTCTCCCATTGTAATTGCTTCACCCCCGTTAGAGCTATCAACGCCCCCTGCCCTGCTGCTAGGGTCGCTGCAAACGTTGCGTAACTCATCCCCTGCAAATTAATGGAAAGCAGTTTGCATTTAATTACAGTTGATTATATTATTTAAATTTACAGTTGGTCCTATCCATTCCTCTATAACAACGGGAGGGAGGATCCAACATGCTATTCACGATACAGTAAATACTACAGTAAATTAATTAAATTACTGTAGCACAGGCAGTAGTTTCTAAGATTCACCGCTGATGCTACAGTAGATTACTGTAGTAGTATTACTGTAGCACAGACGGCACTGTAACGTTTAAAAACATTACTACAACATTATTAATGTAGCTCAAGCAGGATGTTATATCATTTAAAAATACTAATGTAGCATTTGCAAAAAACTGTATTTAAATCTAGAATTACTGTAGCGAAAATAAAAAAATGGAGGACGTGTTTTGCGCGGGGTGCACACTAGCTCATTTAAAAGTAGAAACTCAAAGTGCAAATACTCGAAAAGGAATATAAAAATATGAAGAAGAAGAAGAAGAAGGAAATTAAAAAAACTTACTTGATCAAATAATAGGCAAACCCATGAGAAAATTTTGTTACATTTGCACAGGTTTTGTCCGATCCAAGCAAGAGCCAAGCATCGGCACAATTGGAGAAAATGATAGCCAGCCGCAACCGAAGCTACAGTTATAAGCACCCTAATGATTGCACAAACCCATATTATTATTATTATTATTCGAAAAAATACTATATTTATCACTTTCATCCTTTTTTTTTTGTCCAATCTAAAATCTCTGATGGTCAACAGATTATTTGATCTGTTGCGTCTATGAGAATTGTTGCTACCGTTGTATGCAAATGGAACATATATATTGTTGCAATTCTTTATTTCACTCTAATTGATAAATGCAATTACAACTGCAAAACACCTTCAATTGCAAATCGACAATGTATGCCAATGTAGATTTACATCTCAATCGCAACCTTTTCGATCAGCCGTAACTGATTAAAATACTTGCAATTGCAATTAAGAAGGGTATCTAATTGTAGTGACAACTTGCTTGGATATGAACAATATTTATAACATTTTTAAGGAGTATTAATTCCCTATAAACCAACCATGAAATTGGGTCATTTCGTATGAACCATCTTTGATTGTCAATTTATACATAAATCATTCTTAAAAGGATTTTTAGTGCAATAATTAACAAATAATTATCATAGCAAACCAGAAAACTTGAATTAAATGTGAGGACAACGGTTGATTGCAATGAACATCCATTTAAAAGTGGTTTACATATAAATTGGCAACCTAATACGATTTTTTGTTAGAATGATCCTATTTAATGTGTTTTCAAGGAAAAACGCACATTTCAAGCTGCAATTAGGGTTGGTAAACGAACGAATCGAATCAAATAATGAGATGTTCATATTTGTATTTGTTCGAATTCGAAATCAAATTCCAATATGTATGTCTGCAATTTTTCAAATTCGAACTTGAATGCTCAATATTTTATTAATATTCATGAATGTTTATCAAATGTTAAAGCATATTCATTCTGCTAAAGAATTTAATTTGAAATAGTATTTAAATTTATAAATGAAAATTATTTCTTTATAGTTATGATGTATATATATTTTTAGTATAAATATTTCATTAGAAAACTAATTTAAGATTGTTTATCTTTCTCAAAATTAGTATATATAACTTAAGTAAAAAATATAAATAGGTTAAAAATATAAAATCACGTGTAATGATACAAATTATAAGCGAATATTTGATCGGTAAGCAGACGAATCGAATATACCCCTGGTTAAATTTTACTCCTTAATGAACTGGAATACTAAATATTATTTGTTCGATATACCAGATTGAATACAACCGAATAGTTAGTCAAATAATTAACAAACTATTTGTTAATTGTTTGGTTTGTTTCCATCCCTAGCTGCAATGAAGTCATTCCTTACAAAATGTTAAAAAAAAAAAAAAACTGGTACCCTGAACCAAACAACTATAACTACAGCTGTAACTTTTAGCAATTGACGTACCAAAGAGCTGGCAATTCCTTGACATAAACTGTCCTCTCGATGAACATGACTTTCTTCGTCTCTGCGTCGAAACGGATGATGACGGCGGCCGATGAAAACTTCAGCTCTTAACACCCTGCTCATCTTTTCCATTCTGAAGTTTTCTCTCCCCCCCCCTCTCTCTCTCTCTCTCTCTCTCTCTCTCTCTCTATCTCGAGAACATGATATGGATGTTGTTGTTGTTGTTTGTATCTTCTCTAGTGATGCATATTTATTGGCGGAAGTTGAGAGAGTGTGAAATTAATGGCATTGATGTGGGGTGCTATATATCTGATGAATTAACTAACCTCCTGCTTAATCTGAGTTCATGTTTAACAGTCAGAATAAACACGGTCGGTTTGATTGGTTTTGGTTACTTTTAACCGAACCGAACCGAACCGAACCGAGATGGATAGAACTGAACTAAATCTTTTCGGCTAAATACCCATATTGGTATTATAATTCAACCCTATTTGCCAAGAAGGTATTTTAAATAAAAAAATCGGCGTTAAGTTATTTTAATTGATTAAAATTACCAATTAGGTCCTTTTTTCTCGTCGGCGATCACTTTTCCGGCGAGAACTCATCACGTGCGTGGCACGTGATGACTTAATCTGTATAAATACCCATATTGGTATTTTAATTTAACCCCATTTGCCAAGAAGGTATTTTAAATAAAAAATCGGCATTAAAGCATTTTAATTGATTAAAATTATCAATTAGGTCTTTTTTCTCGTCGGCGACCACTTTTTCGGTGAGAACTCGTCACGTGTGTGGCATGTGATGACTTAATCTGTGTTTTAGCTGATGATGTGGCTCGGTTTTAGCTGCTGATGTGGCTTAATCACAATTTAAGTCCAAAACGAACCAACCTGAACCCTAAAAATTTCAAAACAAAGATCAAACTTCCACGCATTCACTCCAGATCTCAGATTCAACTCAATTATCTTACCTTTACCGCTAACAGAAGCAGCAAAAACCCCCGATTCCAGGAACTTCTAGAAGAAAACGCCATGGGAATTCGGAGAGAAGAGAGTGAGAAGACGAAGATCATTGCAGACTAGATTGCCGTCGGCGCGGCCATGGATCGATGCAAGAGAAAGAGGTTCTATTTATACGGTAACTTCTCCACGAATTTTTCGCTAATTTTTTTACCAATTTTAGAAATGGGGGATTTTAAAATGCATCGACTCTTATTCTTCCTGTCACTGCCACGTCAGAAAACCGGTTGAATTAAAATGCACGTGACCAGTTCTTGCCGGAAAAGTGGTCGCCGACAAGCAAAAAGACCTAATTGGTAATTTTAATCAATTAAAATGCCTTAACGCCGATTTTTTATTTAAAATACCTTCTTGGCAAATTGAGTTGAATTAAAATACCAATATGGGTATTTATACAGATTAAGTCATCACGTGTCACGCACGTGACGAGTTCTCGCCGGAAAAGTGGTCGCCGACGAGAAAAAGGACCTAATTGGTAATTTTAATCAATTAAAATGCCTTAACGCCGATTTTTTTATTTAAAATACCTTCTTGGCAAATGAGGTTGAACTAAAACACCAATATGGGCATTTAGCCAAATTTTTTCGGTTTTATTCGATTTGTCCATTCGGTTTGACTCTGGACCAATCTAACGCTTGATAATAGAGGATCTAATCGGTAAACGATGATGGGATTATTTTCGGATGGGTAGTAAAATTGAGTGCTATTTTGTCCGACGCAAAAAAAAAAAAAAAAAAAAAAATTGCGGCAAATGTTGCAGCAACGCATGCTGCAGGTAACATTTGTTACATGAAACCAACTTCAAATTCGATGTTTGAATGTTCCGCAATTTTATTGTAGAAAATATATTTTCAAATGTGATTTTATTGTTTGGTTGAAAATAAGTAGGCTATAGCTATACAATTTTTTCCATATAAGGGAATTTTCATATAGATCTTTTATTGTTTGGGTTAAAAAAGTTTTTTTTTTTATGATGTGGAATTTTTATTTTGAAGAATGCTGTTTTTCCTCCCATAAAATTGACCATAGCATTTGTTGAAATTTTTTTTATATAAAATACAGGTCGATATATGTACCTTTACTAAGTACAATGTTATAAATTTAATAAAGTATTTATAATTTAGATTGCTCTGTTCATATATTTGTAGCTCTACTTCCAACCAACCTAACAGTTTGCCATTTTAAAACTTTGGGATCTAAATCCACCGTTCAGTGTTCACATTTTGAGCACGATCTTTATCACCGCCGGAGTAGCTAGTTACGTGGCCTGATGAGCATCACGGATCGGAAGGCCGTATTTACTGGGCCCCGAGTTTGCGGTAAGTGGGCCGGGCCCATCATATTCATACGGTACTCCGCATTCCTTTTCACGACTTGAAAACAGAAAAATACACCAAATGAAGAGTGAGAACCAAAAGTTTTGATGAGATTACCTTGATCTTCCACCGATTTTCTCTTCGTCATTTTGACGTAGCTTGAATTTAATGTGAAAAGGGGGGGAGAGGGGTTATGCAATGATTTGAGAAAAAAGAAAAGTGTCATTGGAAAAATATTCTGAGAGAAAAAAAAAAAATCCGAAAACGCCATTTTAAATCTACTCCTCCATACAAATGACAGAATACAATATTCACTATTCATGCTACAATAAATATTACAGTAGTATTTGATGTAGCAAACATAAAACCGAAATTCAGAAAAAAAATATTGTAGCAATTAAAACCAGAATTACTGTAGCGGTAAAAAATATGCGGTGTTTTGCATGATGTTCACACTGCTGGAATTTGACATTCGTAGCAATCAAAATAAAAAGAATATCTTTACGAGTTTTTCTAACAAGCGACTAAGCTGCTTTAAGGAGATTTTATGATAATTACCTTAGTGGCTATGAATAAATTTGTACGATATCAATATAAACGGTCAATCATTTTTACGTCGATCAATCAATTTTTCCGTACGTACTCATCAATGAAATCAATAAATGATACAGAAAACACGAAAGCAACGTTTCAACCGATAGCTCCGATGAACAGCGTGGACACGGATCGCTCAAATTACCAAAATATAGAACACACCGAAAGCAATATCTCCGTTGAACAACTTAGACACAAGTAGCTAAAATTACCCAACGGAACAGAATTTTGAAATATTCGCTGCGAACAAATCGATTTAGAATCAGTAAATTTATCCATTTTTCTATCAATCAATGAAATCAGTAAACAGAGCGCATGCAAACAACGTTTCACCAAATAGATGTGACTAGTTCTTTACAGTTTGGCATGATAGAAACAAGTGACAAACGCATGAAGCCTGGGCGATGAGAGAGAGAGAGAGAGAGAGAGAGATTTGCCAATAATATTCACGCATCAACATCACAAACTTAAATAGACGGATAAATGTCATACAATTGGGTTGTGATTACTTACGTTACGTTTAGCCAAAACCACTTAATGAATTAATATAAAATGAAATGCCAACTCAGTCCTCAACCATATGAAACAACCATTGTCCCATATTTTGGGTCCCTGTAGCAAAGCTCTTAAAGATAATTTTAATCTCAGTACATGTACACCGATCATTTATTTTGCACGCAGGCACTCGACAAGCCGATAAGGTATTCTTTGGAGAGCTTAATTAATATCAGAATTCATGAAAGCTTAATTAATGATAGTTTAATTGAAGTATCTTCTAGGTGGAGAAATGGAGAATTATGTGATGAGCAGTTTGTCTCCAATCATGAAAGCACAATGAGAGCAATAAAGCTCATATTTCTAGGTTTACGATTATTTATTATTGTGCTGGCTTCGGGAAAAAAAAATAGTGTAGCAGCCATTTGTATCCACTTCCCAACCTTTGAAAGGCTTAATTATAAAGAGAACAAAGCAGCTTGATTAGCTAGCTGCAGGTTCACTATCCCCCACCCACGTTTTTTTTTGGCATGTTGGAGCCCGGGTGGGGTAGGGGTTTTTTCCTTGTTTTTTTCCTCTCTCGAGGGGGAAGGGGTTATTTTGACTAATGGCTCTGTGTAGGGGTGGTAAACGATCGAATCGAATACTTTGATGTTCGTATTTGTATTTATTTAAAATTATCGAATTCGAATGCAGACTCTAATACTTGGTAATTGATAAATATTCATGAATATTCACAAATACTTATCGAATATCAAATTATATTTATTTCATTTTAATATATGAAAATAGATTTAAGATTATTTAAGTCTTAAAATCAGTATATAAAAGTTAAGTAGAAATGGTAAGTGAATTTAAAAATATGACATCATATGTGCACTAATACAAATAATAAGCTGTGATGAAAGTTTAAACGAATATTTAATAGACAAACGAATCAAACATATACCTGATTAAATTCTATTCGTTAGTAAACTCGAAAGTAAAATATATTTTAGTGGTAAATGAACTACCGAATCAAATATGACCGAATAGTTACTAGAACAATTATCGAACTATTTGATAATTATTTGTTTCATTTCCGCCCCTAGTTCTGCGGGTAGTTAAAGAGTTCGCGAGATAATGGAACATCACGGAAATCTTAACCATCAACATTGAAGAACAAGAGTCAGCAGTAAAATATAAATTTACCCACCTCCAGCTAAGTCGGGCCTTCTCATTTCTTCGCATTTGACGCGTTCGACCTGTGGAGCAGGAAGAGCCAAGTGTTCTTGTTAGCGTCCACAACCGTTGTGATGGGAGGATAAAATGATCAGCATGTTTATTGCTCCAAATACGGGAAGTATTAATTGTGGGCGGGGATTCATCGGTGAAGGCGACGGCATTGATGCGGTACGGTGTGGACATTTTCATGTATGAATCTAGTGCACATGTTGCTCACATAAAAAAGCTCCTAATATCTCTTAATAAGTAGATCCGATCCTACCCTTTCATTTTCATCATGACCTTTCATTTTCCCACCCAAGGAGACGTATACAGTGGAACCCCCAAAGGACTGGATATAAATTCAATAATGTTGGTCTTGCAGAAAATCAAACAGCGCCGAGCCTAGAATGGTGAGGTTTCTTCGGAAAATATCTATATTTGTTGGGAGATTCGAGCCCACGTCCAAGAAAATAAAGATTTTTGCGTTGCCAACAGTCCAGACCGCAAAAAAAATACACGCGCGTATACATGCATGCGTATATAAAAAAAACTAGGCAACTGATTCTTCAAAATAAACTACGTCTGCATGCACCATATAAACGTACGTAATTAAACAGTTTGAACGACAAATTAGTTTCATTATAGCAACAACATATGATGCGGGCTTCTTTTTTAAGACCAAACTTTCGAAAATGGGACTGCAATAACCTTGTGAAATTTCACTCACCGATACCTATCGCAAGCTTCCTCCAAGACCGTCACATGATTTCATAGCCCCCATAACATTTGTCTTAGACCGCTAGTATTATTTACCCTATATTTTCCATCAGCAACACAAATATAAACGAACAAATCACAGGGATATCAAACTCTCATAACTCAAGTGAAGGTTACATATATTATAGCTACCAAGTTGTGTTATAACTGACACAACAAATTAGACAACGCACATGATGTCCGACAGCATAATACAATATTATGCACAGCTAAGAATGCGTTCCAACCTAAGCCATACCAAGAAAGTTGGGGTTGGAGGGTGGGGTGGGGGGTTGGGGGGGTTAGTGTGGGTTGCGACGGAGTATTTCTCTTAATGAATGAAATAAACATTCGCTATAATAATTATACACTTTCGTGTTCATAAAACACTAGTAATTTGATAACAAAAAGGTAATATGGCATTGGTTACCGCTTCAGCCGTGTCCCTAAGTAGGGACTTCACTTTAGAAGCTCATTGCGCAGACACTTTTTGCAGGTCCTGAATACAACTTTCTTGTCCATTGCTTGACCGCATTTGTTGCTGATCCTCTTGCATTCTGCCTTAGTCTTGCCAACCTCCATTTCGCGGCAGGCACGGATGAAGCCGGCTCGTTGGGCTGGCAGGAAAATGCATAAAAGTTAAAATGGAATGAACTGAGCTTTATATATCTTGTTGTAACGAGTCAAGTGATTAATTCGTTTGCATGTGATTATAGAACATCAATAAATAAATCACCAAGCAAATGACAACGAATTGGAAAGGCAAAAAATAAAAACAAATGAGGCCGGATTGACACAGGATGCTACACAAGGCTTTGAAAATATTTAACTCATTTGAAAATCCTCAAAAAAATAAAAATAAAAATCATCAAGTCATTACCAATGCGGAAAAAAAATTTGTTGATTTTGCAGATGTTGACACATATTTCATTTAGAAGCCCTCAACATTTTCCCTCAAGTCGAAAATTCAAGATGCTTTGGGTAATTTTGTTCTGACAGTGAAGTTACAAAATAAAAAAAATGGTTTTGAATGGACTATATCTTCTGTATATGGTCCTCATTGTAATACGGAGAGAGCCCTTTTTTGGCAGGAGCTTAAAGAGGTTAAAAATGCCTTTTTAGGCCCTTGGGTTGTGGTGGGAGACTTCAATGTAACCATTAATTCTGCAGAAAGAAAAGGAAGAACAAATCATAGAAAAAAAATGGAAGAGTTTAAGGAAGTTATAAATGAATTGGAATTGATTGATAGTCCTTTACATGGAAGAAAATTTACTTGGACAAATAAGAGAAGATCACCTGCTATGGCTAGACTTGACAGAGTTTTTTTCAACTCTGAGTGGGAAGATGCTTTTCCTTTATCAAGACAACAAGGTCTTAGTAGTCAATTATCAGATCATGCTCTCATTTGCTTTGATTTTGAAGATAATCAACAGCAAGTTGAAATATTCAGATTTAAAAAAATATGGCTGCAATCTGAAGATTTTATGAAAAATGTTCCAATTTGGTGGAAGTGTGCTCCCAGGAATGATTCGGTTGCTAAAAACATTGTTGGTAAATTGAAATTTATGAGAAAATGTATCAAACAATGGGTACATTCAAAATTTTATAGTGTCAAACAAAAAAAGAAAGACTTGTTAGAAAATCTCTTAGAATGGGAAGTTATAGAAGAGGATAGAGATCTAGAGGATGATGAGTTGATTAAAAAAAATGATATTTCTATACAATTAAATGAGATTCTTGTTCAAGAAGAACAAATGTGGAAGCAAAGATCCAAAGCTCATTGGCTTAAGGAAGGAGATAATAATACAGCATATTTTCATAAAATTACAAATGGCAGAAAAAGAATAATTTGATTTCTTCAATATTTCATAATGATGTTGAAGTGACCTCAGAAAACGGGATTGCACAGATTTTTTCAAATCATTATAAACAGATTTTTGGTCAAAATGTGCCTAATAGATGTCAATTGGATTGGAATTGTTTATTCCCTACAGTTGACTGGGAGCCTAATGATATTGAAATTCCTTTTTCTGAAGAGGAAGTTCATAAAGCCATTTTTGATATGAATGGAGACAAATCCCCTGGTCCTGATGGCTTTTTCTGAAGAGGAAGTTCATAAAGCCATTTTTGATATGAATGGAGACAAATCCCCTGGTCCTGATGGTTTTTCTGCTTTGTTTTTCCAAGTCTTTTGGGAGGTTGTGAAATTGGATATTATGAGGCTTTTTGAGGAGTTTTATGAAGGAAAACTAGAAATCAATAGAATTAATTATGCTCATATTGTTCTTATTCAAAAAAAAAAAAATTAAAGCTAGTACAGTCAATGATTACAGGCCTATCAGTCTTTTAAATGTAGTTTACAATATTATTACTAAGGTCTTGACTAATAGGCTGAATACTAAGCTTGAGTGGCTTATAGATCCAATGCAATCTGGTTTTATTAAAAACAGATTTTTGCTTGGAGTAGTTGCAGCTCAAGAAATTATAGATGACTGTTTTCAGAATAATAAAAAGGGAGGAATTTTACTAAAATTGGACTTTGCAAAAGCCTATGATATGTTAGACTGGAACTTCATTTTGGAGGTGTTGAAAGCTAAAAAATTTGGTGAAAAATGGATAAACTGGGTAAATATGTGCTTAAATAAAGGCATGTCAGCTATCAAAATCAATGATAAACCTGGGAATTGGATTATGTCCAAAAGAGGTGTTAGGCAAGGAGACCCTCTTTCACCTTTGTTATTTGTGCTGGCTGCTAATACATTTACAAGAATGTTATCTTTAGCAGTTGGATCTTAACTTATTGAAGGATTAGGTCCAATTAATATGACTCACAAGGTTTTTTGTCTACAATATGCAGATGATACCTTGATTTTTTGCAAGAATAACAGAGAGCAATTGACAGCTTTGAAGCTGATTTTATATTGCTTTTAACTTGTTTCAGGTTTAAAAATAAATTTTAATAAGAGCGTTCTTATAGCTATTGAGAATAATGAAGATTTACAACAGAATCTGGCCACTATGTTGAATTGTAAATGTGAAAAATTTCCTATTACTTATCTGGGTGTGCCTTTAAGGCCTGGAAATTTAAAAAAAAGATGATTGGTCTCCTTTGATTGAGAAAATAGAGAGGAGATTAGCATTATGAAAAGGAAAGACATTATCAAGAGGAGGTAGACTAGTTTTAGTTAACTCAGTCCTTTCCTCTATGCCACTTTTTTGGCTTTCCTTCTTTTTATTTCCTTCTTGAATTATTGATAAAATTGATAAAATGAGAAGAAGATTTTTGTGGATTGGATCTTTGGATCACAAAGGATATTCTAATTTGGTTAAAATGGGAAGAGGTTTGTAAACCTAAATACTGTGGTGGTTTGGGGATTATCAATTTGAGAATTATGAATAAAGCTTTTTTAGAAAAATGGATTTGGAAATGGTTTGATGGAAAACCTAGTCTCTGGAAACAAATTAGTTTTTACAAATATTTTTAAAAAAATTGGTCTGAGTATTTTTACTCTAGAAGAGTTTTTCTATCTCATTTTTGGAGAAATTTTTTTACTAATGTGGAAAGCTTTCTATGCAGTTCTCAAGTGGAGGTTGGAGAAGGAAATCAAACTTTATTTTGGCTTGATAAATGGTTAGATTCACATACTCTTGCAGCCATATATCCGTCCTTATTTGTTAACACATCTTCTCCTTTTGCTACTGTGAGTAGTATGAGAAAGAAAGAAAATGATGTCTGGAGATGAGATTTGCAGTTTAAAAGACAATTAACCGGGACTTTAGTGTCACGGTATTTCTCTTTAATGAATTTACTTAATTCCATATGTTTAGAGGAAAAAGAGGATAAAAGAAAATGGTTGTGGGAATCGAAAGGGGGTTTCACAGTGAAATCTTATTATCTTTTTTTAATTGATGGAGGACTGAGGTATGATTGTGCAAATATATGGAAGTTGCCTATTCCTTTGAAAGTAAAATTTCTAGTCTGGTTGGCTTTCAGGCATGGTTTGAACACAAAAGATGTGTTGGAAAAAAAAGGAATACAATTAGAAAAAATATGTTGTTTATGTTCAAATTTGGAAGAAAGTCATACACATTTATTCATTAAGTGTGAGTTTGTTTACTCTATATGGAGATCAATTCAATTCAAATTGAAGATTGAGGATGATTTTAGTTGGAATTCTTTGAAAGAGGTGTAGCATAATTTGGAAGCAAGAGAAATTGATAATGGCAAAATAAAAAGAGATGTCTTCATTTGTTCTTTTGTTTGGTGTGTATGGCAGGAACGAAATGATAGACTTTTTTTAATAAAAGAAAAAGATCTCTTGAGCTTTTGAACAAAATTATGACATTTTCATCATTTTGGCTAGGTTCTAAAAATATCTCTGCTCGGGCTATCAAATTGCAAGAAAGGAGGAAAAGGAGTGCGGATAGAATGCAAGCTGTTGGTGCAGATAGAAGAGAGAACAGAGATCTGGGGGATGAGGTGATCCAGCTAGAATGATTTACATTCAATTCAGGCTTTGTTTTGAGGTTGTCTAGTGGCTGTTTTTTAAAACTTTGGTTAGTTGTGAAGCTCTTAGCATTTGGTTTTTGGTTATGGTCTTCTTCTTGTGGGAAAGATCTATGGTTATGTACAGAGTTGTGCTGGGTTATACTTTTGCTTTGTAATCTTGACTATGAACGTTAATACACACTCTTGGTTTGGGGTGTGTATATTTCTTCTGTAACAACCTTTTTTGTTAATTAGCTGGCTGGATTACCTTCGTGGTAATCCATCCTTTTTCTAAAAAAAAAAACCATTTTCCCTCAAGTCATTACCACTTTCTGCAGAATAGACTTTTTTCTGCCTTAGGAGAGAGAGAGAGTGAGATACAATTTTATCCTATCACGCAAAAAGTCCACAACCGTGTTCCTGCCATCTTTACAGCCTTTGCTTGCAAACTGTGAAGAGACGATAATTAATGTATCTAATAAGCCATTAATCAATGCAATATGTCTCAGATGGGGCCATTTGTTTATCTTTGTGTACATTACTTGTGAAGTTGTAGCATATATACTAATTTATCTACATCTTGTAGATGAGTCTGTCAAACAGAAAATTTTTATAAAACATCGCAAAATATTACGGTAGGAATAATTAAAGTTGGTAGGAATGATCAAAGTTGAACTAGAAGTTGTGCATGATTACTGTGACATAGAAGGCAAGTTTTTAGTCTGTCAAATGGGAAGCGACCAAAGGCCATTAAAAGCTCTTATATTGCAAAGAATTGATTGTGTTGCAGTCTTGCATGAATATTCGAAAGTACTAGTGGTATTCAGACTTCTAGGTTTTTCTATCATGGAAGGGTTTCGTCACATGTATTATAATTTGCTGATGTTTGGTTCTTAGCCTGAATAAGAAAAACATGGAGGATGAGAATGAAGCACTCTATCAGTTATGTTTGATATGGATTTGGGACATAGACTTAAGACAGACAAGCTTCTAAGTTATTGACGTCCCTTCACTGGATCATTCAAGATTTGCTTGATTGCAAATCTCTTCCATTAATTATCATAATATTAAATAAAATATATAATATGGATATTTGGCGCACTCTACACTTTTTGTAAGTAAATGAAACAATACCCTATACTTCATGACTGATAACATAATGCAGTGCAAGAACATGAAAGCTCCAGAAGAAGCAACAAGTTTAGAAAGACAGCATGATTGAACAAACAGAAATAAATGCCATAATCTGCAGGAGAGAACAGATGTTTGTAAAAAAAGATTAGTTGATTAAAAGAGCATATAAAAAACAATCTCGCAAAGAAAAAAACCTGAAGGTCCTTGATTTGACTCTCCATGATATAGGAGCTGCAATATTGGCTATCATGCGAATCCTGCCAAGATGGGTGAAGAACAGCTAAAGATTTATTTCCAGCTTCTGCATCTGATGTCTTTATATACTTCTCCAAAGGTGGTGGCAGTGACAAATTCGATCGCTTTCTAGACATGGATACTTGGGAATTTCCAAATCCTTGAGGACCTGAGCGGAGAGGTTGCCTAACTATGAGGACATTACTGACAGGACCTGTAGAAAATTTATGGGTCAAAATTTCCACAATTAGCTTGTTACTTTCTAAGAAAATGTTCGGGCAAGAAAAATAAAGAGTGCAGTTTTTGCAGTACCATATATGTCACCAAAACTTTAGGTTCTAAAACATACATGTGAAAAGTTCCAGAAGGGCTATCTATCAGAGACTCAAATAAAATAAGGATCAAATGTAAAAACTTGCGAGTGAACAAATCATCAGAGATCAAGATGCAATTACCTAAAATGTGCTAAACACTGAGATAATGTCATTGAACACCAAATGCACAAGCCATTGTTAAAATCCAGAGTGCTTAAGGATGTAGTGCTTTGAATTTAAAGAAACCACCTCATCAATCTCACAATTTATGACAACAGCAAGCTTACATATTTTTTAAATCCTGTTGAGCCCAGATGAACAATAATTTTAGTATATATAATCTCCAAGCAAAGTACTTAACATGTTAAAAATATCAGTATTATCAAGTCAAAAGTTAGGTAATGGACCTAATGGTAAAAAGACTAGAACAAAATTTAGAAGTTCTGAATGTTGAGAAAACATGCATTAAGAATTACTTGACGTATAAATTTAGAACAAAATTTAGAGTTTTCTAAAAGTTCTGAACGTTGAGAAAACATGCATTAAGAATTACTTGAGATATAAATCTAGAGAAGTTATCAACCGCAAACCTAAAAACAATGTAGGAACTCCATGTATAAGGGATGAACTACAGCTGTGATCATCAAATCATAGAACAGGAAAACACATGGATCAAACATCAGGCTCAATTACCTAAAAGGAAAATGCAATAAAATTTCTATTGACGAACCATATGTATAAAGGAACTATAGGATATTTTCATATATAATAACAGAAGAGATCATTAACCCATGTCACATGTACCTTTCCCATGCTTAAGTACACGACTAACATGCTGACTTTTAGTATCCCAAACCCGAACCATACCATCCTCTGATCCAGAAACCAGAGTAACTCCATCCGTGCTAAATGTTAGGCAAGTCACAGCTTTGCTGGAGAAAACAACATTTTAAAACAAATTAATTATAGACCAAATAAAGGGAGAATCCAGAAAATGTACAAATTTGCAGTAGATTAGATCTTCAAAACTTTCTTCTAGAGGGTTGAAGTCTCTGAAAAATGGAAAGTATCTTCTAAATTTGATTAGTCTTAGATAAGAGTCCAAGCTTATGTTTGTTTAGTTATGATTGAAATTTTAGCTTGGTTGTTATTACAGTTGCTTTATCAGTATTTCAATTTTCTTACGTAGTCCTTTCTTTATAAGACGAGATATTGGGATTTTTATTTTATTTTTAGAATTTTAGTTTAGTTATGACTAGGAATTCTACTTCCATGCAAATTTTGGATCGTCTATCTAGAAATGTTCATAAGTGATCCTTGTATTATTTTCTTTAGTTGAAAATTATGATAATTTGATTTCAAAAACCAAGTATTGGTGAATGAGGTTGCAAAACTCTAGGTGTGAACTTTATCCAACGTGAAAGCCAACATAAGGATGTTAACCCTCAAATCTTTTTTCTTCTTACTGAATCTAAATAAAAATCCAATATACCACTTTTTCACAGTCAAATTCTAGTCCAACTGAATCTGTGTGCCACTAGACAGGATAGCAACTATTTTAAGAGGGATATGCACCTTACAGGAGAAAACAAATTCAATTTGCTGATGCAAATGATTGGATAAAGGATCAATATGGTTTTATAGTTGTTTCTTATGCTAGCCTCAAAGGTGAATACATTTCTAGTATAAAATGTTTTTCATGTTTGAAATACTTTTAGTTGCTATGAATTGCCTGACATATAAAGTGTTAATAGTCATACGAAATTCCAAATAGAAAATTTCTCATCCTTGGACTTGAATTTATATTAAGTGAACAAAATGTAAATGCAAATGAAATGACCTAAGCCACTTACCATGACGAAACAGAATGGAGTTTGCAGGGGAGGAAAAGATACCAATATCACAAAAGAATTAACAAGCAGGTGTACAGTCTGGAATATCATGTGTGCTTACACGGAGTGATAATACTTAACTTTTTCATACAAGGTCAGTCGATCAAAAATCTTTCCTTACATAGACTTCTTGCCCTCTGGTTTTTTATGTCAATGCTAATGCAGCAAGTTTTCGGAGAAATCCAATAACACCAAAGTGTATATTCAGGCTAAGAGAATTGTAATGAGACTGTTCTGAAAAGTCTAATTTTTTGTTCAATCTCAATTTGAGGGACTTTTCTCGTTTCTGTTAGTTATTCTGTTTCTTCAGTACGTGCGAATCTTAAATCAAAACTTCTGCTCACATGGAGTGAAAATACTTAACTTTTTCATATAAGGTCACTCGATCAAACATCTTTCCTTACATAGACTTCTCGCCCTCTGGTTTTTTATGTCAATGCTAATGCAGCAAGTTTTCCGAGAAAACCAATAACACCTAAGTGTATATTTAGGCTAAAAGAATTGTAATGAGACTGTTCTGAAAAGTCTAATTTTTTGTTCAATCTCAATTTGAGGGACTTTTCTCATTTCTGTTAGTTATTCTGTTTCTTCAGTACGTGCGAATCTTAAATCAAAACTTCTGCTCACATGGAGTGATAATACTTAACTTTTTCATATAAGGTCACTCGATCAAACATCTTTCCTTACATAGACTTCTTTCCCTCTGGCTTTTTATGTCAATGCTAATGCAGCAAGTTTTCCGAGAAAGCCAATAACACCTAAGTGTATATTTAGGCTAAAAGAATTGTAATGAGACTGTTCCGAAAAGTCTAATTTTTTGTTCAATCTCAATTTTGAACTTTTCTCATTTCTGTTAGTTATTCTGTTTCTTCAGTACATACTTATCTTAAATCGAAACTTGTGCTTTAAGTCATGAAGCAGTCCTGGCGCCACATAATATCCAAGTATGCAACACGAATCACATGATGGTGTTTTTGACTATATCTAATTGAAGAAGTAACAAGATCAACCACATAGATTGTGCATTCATATGATAACCTATAAATGCATTATGATATTTATGGAAACACAGTACCAATGTGACTTATGTACTATGGATAGCTTATATGTTTGAATTATCCACAGCAGCAGCCTGAAAAAATATCAGTACACACTTAAGTCATCGTATCTGCAAAGTAACAAAAGGTAACATGTGCATATTACATATAAAAGGATACGTAGAAGTGACTGATGCAACATATTTGGAACACAATGTAAGTCAAGAAGATGACTAACCTTTGGTCAGATAAGGATCCAATGATGTACATTCCATAACGGTTGTCAGGATCAGGTTCAGCATTAAGTGCAGCAATATATATCCTGCCATCTCTACCACCAGCATAAAATGCATGCTCTCCAGGGTCCATTGCAATTGCATCGATTACGGAAGGAAACACAATATTCCTCAATAATATACCTTCAGATAAGCTCCAAATCTAAACATCCAACAAAAGAATGAAACAAAATATTAAACAACTCATTAACAACAAGGAAAATAAGAATCCTAACATCTACACCACACACTATAGATTTAGTAATTTCTCACATCTCACTATTATCCTTTGATTTGTTGAAGGCATCAGAAGTATGATATGATAGATTCCGGACATACATGTCAACGAAGATAAATGGATGTATTCTATGGCTATTAAAAAAATAATACAGGAATTATTGGAAATTAATTAGCATCAGAAGAAAACAGACACCATGTAAGGCACGTGCAAAAGAATGTAATAGCATTACCAAAGAAAAAGTGGACTTCATTACATACAGCAAAAGCACTTGGCTTCAGAATAAATCATGAAGTAATGAAGAACATGGTACTTGGCCTCAGAAGAGATCATGAACTATAGAAGAACATCTGATGATTAAATGAGGCAAGACAGCATTTGGAAAAGAATTAGTCAAAAGAAAACTAAGGTTTTCATGGTGATGAATAATAACAATGATAATAATACATGAACAGTCTAAAGAGTTGGAGAAAGGAAAAAAAATAGTCGATTCATATAACCAATAGCATATAAGATTGTACAAATATTTTCATTCAACATATTGATGTGAAATTTTAGAATACATAAAGGTATAATCACAAAGTGCATCATCTCAGAAATAAGAGTAAGGAAGTTGTAGGTCAATAACTGCAAATTATGTCATAACTACTGTTACCAATTATCAATCTTTAGTTAATAAGTACAATCATAAATAGCGAACCTTACAGGTACGGTCCTCAGAAGATGAGATAATGATAGAGTTGCAAAGTCCATGACCACAAACAACATCAGTAACACGTAAACTGTGTTCTGAGAAACTATATTTGTAGAGATTCCTTGCAGCTTCCTTCCCCATGTCATCGAACATCCTGTTACACCAATGTAACAGTAACAACATAAACTGAATAGTATAGAAATAATAATAAGATTTAACATAACAGAAGAAAAAGAATGTCACATACATCAAAAGTGACCACACTCTGACACATCCATCCTCCGATCCAGATATCAATAGAGACTCGTCATCAGACAATGTAAGGCAAGTGACAGATCTGTAGTGAGCGTGCCACTTGTTCAGCAGCTTGCCACTTGCCACCTGGTTTAAAGAAATAGCCATGGTTGTTATGATAAAGGGGGGGAAATTTTGTGCAAAGCTGAGGTGTTACAGAAAGTAAGATATCACTGTCTTCACATAAAATTCCAATTAAAACAACATGCAATCAAAACAATAAACCTTTCTCCTAGATAATATTTACCGAATGTTTGATACTACGTGCCAAACAAATAAAAAACTTAAACACTGAAATGAGCCATCCGTTGAAGTTGGTACTAAAATTTTCATATAGCTCTATTCTCAGATACAAGAAGCATGCGAAAAATACATGCATTTTCCAAATCTGAATTTTCGAATCTCAACAATCAAAACAGATTTCACTTGAAAAAAAAATTCTTTTACAACATTCTTCTTGAAATTCTTTCAACTCCATGCTTTCTGCTCCTTTGTTGTATTAAACAATAATCATAAGTAACCTGTCCTTTTCTTCTCCACAAATTTCCCTAAGCACCAATACAATTCAGTCTACAGTTTTTACCATTAACACGAAGCTAAATAAGAAGACCAGAAAAAGAAGACTTTTTGACAAGTGGGTTTCCTTAGTGAAGGGAAAAGAACAAAGAATAGTATATGACAAACAAAAGCATAGCTTGACACAAGCTCCCACACTGACTAAAACCCTAAAACACTTAAAACCCCTATAATTACCTACACATTGCACAATGATCAACTCACAAAAATGTTCTTAAGAAAATTACCTCCCATAAATAAATGGAACCAGAAGAGCCACCACCAACGATATAAGCCCCATCAGAATTCGACACAATCGGCCCAATAGGCTCAGCTGGAAAACTTCTGACCTCAATTTGGGGCTAAAAACAACCAATTACAAATCAAATCAAACAAAAGATATAACTTTAAGCTATACGGGCAATCAAATTAATAAAAAAAAAGACGACTTGATCTCTATTTCGTCAATACCTTGTCCCAAGACCAAAAGAGAATCTGAGAGGATGAGGATTTGGGGGAGTCGCGGATTTGAGAGGAGGCGAGGAAACGGCGGGAAACGGAGAGGAGGCCGTGAGGAGGGGAGGCGGAGGAGCGGTATCGGAGCTGTTCGGATCCAGATCGAAGGTCCCAGGATCCGATAGTGGAGTCGACGGATGAGGACGCGACGAGAAGCTCCATTTGATTTTTAGGGTTTGGAGGCGGGAGAATTTAAGAGGATGAGGAAGATCATCAGGGGTTTATGAGGGTTTTGGGTGTTGTTTTAGGGTTTTTTTTTTAATAAATGTACACTAAATAAATGTGGGCTCGTATGTTATCCAGCGCCCGTGGCCTAATGGATAAGGCGTCTGACTTCTAATCAGGCGACTGTGGGTTCGAGTCCCACCGGGCGTGTGCAACTATTGCTCGTATCCCTTTGTATAACATTTTTTTATTGTTGTTTTCCTAGCACGCACTGTTTTTCTAGCCTGATTTAGAGGTGTTTTTATTTTTTAAAGTTTTTTAACCTTATTTTCCTAGGAGAATATTTTTTTCCCATTCAAAGAAAGAGCTATATTATATCACGCAAGCACGACTTGTTAGAGCATCTCCAACAGCTTCCTCATCTTCTTGAAATACTCAAATTTGAAGAATATAGAGCTTTTTTTTTGTCCAACAGATTCCCCATCTCATTCCCCAAAATAGGGAAGGAGGAGAAAAAATAGGGAGCCTTCCCCAAATCTGCAGCATTCTCCAAATTTTTTGGGGAGAGCTTTATTATTGTAATAAATGCGATTTTTCAAAATGGGGAAGCTGTTGGAGTTGGAGCAAAAATAATTTGGAGAATATAACTTTTGTTTCTCCATTTTGGAGAAAATTTTGGGGAAGCTGTTGGAGATGCTCTTATAAGCTTGGAATCTGACTTAGAGGTATGTAGTCACAATCTGACTATCACTCAAAACTAAGATAGCTAAACGTATTTGAAGAGCGTATGAACCTATATATGTGTGCGCGCGCGCGTTCCATTTCGACTATTTGAATTCATATTCAAATTCTAAACGAATAGGAAATCAATATTCGAATTCACTTCGGAGAGTATTCGAATATCCGAAAGCTATTTGCAAATATTCATTGATAGGGTTTAGGTAATCTTTGAAAGTTATTCGGTACATATTTGTTAGATATTCAGTAAATATTTGTTATCCTAGTAATACAATAGAGCCAAACATTACATACCTGATGAGTATGCAACCTAGTGAATATATAATATTCACAAATAAAGATCTATTTATCCACATTTACAAGTAGCAAAATAAAAATTTTAAGGGCTAAACTTTATAAACGAGTAGTTTATTAAACAAATGATATTCGTTTATTATTAAATGAACTATCGAATCGAATATGACCGAATACTTCGTCGAATATATACCGAATATAGTCAAATATTTGGTTCGTTTCCACCATATATACACACACACAAAAAATATTTATGTGAATATGGGCTTTATACTTGTACTATTTGTGAGTATTTGCTTCTTGACTCCAGCAAATAAGAAAAAGGTTAATAGGACAACTGATCGTATATCAACCAAAATTTAAAGCTCTTTGATTTTCTTTCTCCTTGTCCATCTTCATATACTTGAATAAAATTTTTAGTTTAATATTTATCGGCTGAAAATTTACACCAATATCAATTGCTTTAAAAAAGATGAGGTGCATAAGAGGTCTAAAACGGGACTAAGAAAGTCATTTCTCATTAATATTTGGCCCCTTGCACGCTTTCCATGTATGCCTATAAAAAAAAAGTCTAGAATGAGAGACTCGAAATTTAATTTAACCGTACAGAATGATGGCGTGGATTCACATGAAAGCTGTTGTACGTAACAATGCCGTCTGCTGAATATGACTACTGAGGTTAAACGTGCTCCCATATTCCATCATGCTACGCTACGGGGCTGTTTGTTTGCGATTTGGATAGGGGAAAGCCTGTCAAAAGTGCAGCTTTTGACAGGCTTTCCATCCAAATCGCTTCTAAAAGAGACGATTTGGATGGAAAATCTGCCAAAAACTGCACTTTTGACAGAGTTTTGACAGGCTTTCCAGCCCTTTCCCCCTAAAAAACCTCTTTCCAAATAGCCCCTACGGCTCTTTCCTTTTATGTTTGTTCAGGTACCATCCCAGGAGAGATGCAAACTCACCACAACAAGCACTTTGTTTGCTTCACCTGTAGCTTTGTGTTTTTGCTCTCTTCTAGTTTACTATGTTGATTTATTTTTAGTTCCCATTGAGAGAAAAAGCTATAGCGCCACTATACTAGCCTGGGTTCTGGCTTCGAGGCATTTACTCGTAATTCGACACACGGTAGCTTCGCGTCACTGGCTTTTTAACCAAGCACGATGATCAATTGCGTGAATCAACGGTTCCTCTCATCTTGGTTGAATTACTATCACAACGTAGTCATCAACAGGGTAGAACTAACCTATAGCATTACAATTTAAACCCAGATCATGTTCCCTATTGGTGGGTGAGTGAACAACCTAACACTCGGTGAATTCTGCTGCGCAATGATAGGAAGAGCCGACATCGAATGATCAAAAAGAAACATTGCCATGAACACTTGGTTACCACAAGCCAGTTATCCATGTGGTAACTTTTCTAACACCTCTAGTTTCAAATTCCGAAAGTTGAAAGGATTGAAATGCCACGCTTTCATGGTTCATATTTACGCCAGAATCAAACAAGCTTTTAACTTTTATTCCACACGAAATTTCTGTTCTCGTTGAGCTCATCTTACGACCTACAGTAGCCATATTATATTAAAATTAAAAAAAAGAAGCACAACCGTTATTATCAAAATTCAAATAATACCACGCATCAGCAGAGAGGTTCCGCGCTTCCCATTACCTATGTAAATATTCATTTGATGCATAAAAAGTCACCATGTTTCCCTGTGAAAGCATAACGATTTCTGAGCATCATAAAGTTTTGCTCTGGTTGTTTCAAGTGACAACTCAAATCTACAAAACAACCGACACAAAGGACCATTCACATACATCCCACAGAATTATAACCTCAAAAAGGCCATTGAAGCGGTTCACATTAGATAAGCAAAGCCTCCCCATCTAATTGTTTTGCATACTCCTCACAGGGCGTGGATAAAACATCATATAAAAGCCAACATACCGAAAGATTAAACATGAAACAAGTAACTGTACAAAAATTTTGTACAATGTTGATATTAGCGTGGAACTGAGTTTCTGATATCTCCCGTTCCACCGCACCAAATATTGTCTGTTACCCGAAGCTTTTCTAAATCCAACCCTACCCCTTTGTTAGGTCATTCTAATCTTCCAACTCAATGAGTTGAGCTCTCCTCTCAGCTGCCTTCTTCCTAACAAAGATACCCCATCTCATAGCTGCCTTGATCTTGAGCCATCCTACAACAGCTTTACCAGAGGAACGGCTACGATCCTCATCAAAGTTGAAGTTTGGACCAGGTGATGGCATAAAAGGCGAAAACCCATATCCATCATCGTGTAAATTAGAGCCTCCCATGCTAAAAACACGGAGTAAATGTTGCATATCTTCGTTCTCCAACATCTCATGGCTTCTCATCCGGATATCTTCCTCTGAGAAGAAATCATCAGCAACCCGAGTGCTTTCTTGGGGTTGAGACCAGTCGTCATAGGAGTTATCATTAGTGGGCTGAATCAATTGGCTAATAGGTTCAAACTCCAAGCTTTGGTGTTGAGGTGGAGCCAAAGCTAGGCTTGTGCTGTCGCTTCTTGTAAATTGAGTTTGGTTTGAACTAATGAACTGGTTTTGTGGGATAAATGAAGCGTCCTCAAATTGCATGCTGATATTGGGGGTCACCTCTTGCTGTGGAGGTTGATATCTACTCACTTGGTTCCCATTGTAACTGGAAGAACTGGAACCTGATGCACAAAAACAGTAAATAGTGAGCAAGGAGCAATATCAGCTCTTTATAATGTGTAATGGCATATGAGATCAAATAGTCCACTGAAGGTAACCTATCCACAATCAGTATAAATCTAATTTGGGGTACAATTTGTTCCACAAATAGGAATTGAATCTCACTCAAATCGAATTAAATTGATTCCTAGGTCAATTCAAACTCAGGCCAAGTACAAGAAGCTTATATAGTGGAAGAATTATGTAGATAGCTAAAGGTTAGATGATAGGCCATATTGCACAAGCCTTAAATCCAATTCTATGTTTCACTGAACTTGTATACTTTGGTATTTATGCATCACTTAATTGGAACCTAATGAGTATTATCCATCTCAAGACTGGCCTATGAAAGAAAAAGAAAGTAAAGAAAACTGTACTATGCAGCCTAAGGGAGATTAATGTTACTATTGTTTTGTATTCTCAAGTCCTGAATATTCTTTGGGATGTGCATCATAAGTGGCCACCTTGTACATAAGTCATAGGACGACTTCAAACAAAGCTTTACTTGTGTACAACTACCTCTTGCATGTTTTACTTGTTGAGGATTGATTTTAAGGTATTATTGACAAGTTCTGTTAACAACCATATCAAAATCTAAGATTGAATAGTGTGCTAAATTTTGTTTCTGTTTTAAGAGTTGGTTACCACCTGAAACCACTCCGACGTCCAATGAAGGCTGTACTACAGGAACTGTAATTGACACCTGCGGCTGAGCGACTTGCTGATCATATGAAGGTCGACAACTTGGTGCAACTGCTGGAGCTTTGTTGAGAGAAGTAGATGCCTTCTTGCTCTGCTTGAAGTTTAAAAGAGCTTTGCCATCATATTCTATGACATGCCTCCAGTTATCATATGCTCTTTTTACCAGTGTATCCACAAAAACCTGTGAACATTAAATGTCAGTGTAAGCTTCCTCAGAAAATCATCTTTCGCTATTTAATATTTTTCTTTAACGTTGAAGACCAAAGACTTAAATTCTAAAAATAATTTAACAGGTATCCTACTTAACTATCTAACAACACAAACCTATTACCATATAAACTATATCCGTGTAGAAATATTTACGATATTATAAGGATCAATGGCAAAGAAACTTATACAGAAAGAAGTGTGGATGACACGAGTATAATGCATGAATCAACATTACCATATAAACTATCTAACAACACAAACCTATTACCATATAAACTATATCCGTGTAGAAATATTTACGATATTATAAGGATCAATGGCAAAGAAATTTATACAGAAAGAAGTGTGGATGACACGAGTATAATGCATGAATCAACATTATTTTGAAACCAAAAAAATATTTTAAAGATCCATAAAACTACATATATAGAAGCATTTTATAACTAGTAACACCTTTAGTTGATAGCGAACTGCCCTGCTAGGCTTCTACTTGCCTTTTTTTGTAAATGAAAACTTGCAGTCAAACAATTACATGCCATGCCAATGTAACTTTTTTAATTTTAACTAAACCATATGATAAGAAGGATAGAAGCTTGAACTATCGTCTCTTGCACAACAAGAAATTCAGATAGCACCTCTATTAACATTGAAATGAAACTTCAACTAAAACAAATGTATCGAAGAACGTCACCAGCATACAGTCCAATAAACAGAATAAATAATACGATGTCAAAGCTGCAAACCTTCTGACTGTCAGTAAGACATTCTGCTGAGTAATACTGCCCATTAGCAATAAGGCCAGTAAACTCATAGATATTGTTAAATACAGCACCAATGCTCCTTGTTTCATCAGAATAGTAAATATAATGTTTTCCGCCCAAAACACATGTCTTCGCATGTTCCACAAGACTCTCCCACATCTTATTTGACATGCCACTTCCAAGAATCTACAAAAGAAAAAAGAAGATTCAGCAAAGCAATCAATAAGGAAACATTTTGCTTAAACTAAACTATCTTTAAATTCTCGCCTAAACTAAACTATCTTTAATTCTTACATTGCGCAATCTTTGAGAATCTCTGACAACAAGTCTAAGAAATTCTTCAACTGTAAAAATTCCAGATTTATTCAACCGCTTGTGGAATGAACCATCCTTCCCGATTTTTTCCAATCTCCAGACCTCATCCTTTAGAGCAGGTGGGTAGTGTTTCTTGTATACTGTAGAAAAAAGGAAAAAAGTGTTTAAAAGACAACTTTTTGAGGGGATTATAATGGAGAACTGCAATAAACATGTAGCAAACGCACATTCCCCTCTGTGATCTTTGACGGTAAAAGCTTCCGTTTTTGCCTCTCGAACGCGAATTCCCTCACAAAAGCCTGAAGCAACCTTCAGACCAAGCCTAAATTTTCTACTACGTATCCAGCTAGAATTGTCAGTAAATATAAGCTCTCCCAGGGTCCCAACACCTTCTTTAAGTGATACCTGCAAATCCCCAGTCAAGAGTGGCCTCTTTCCTTCTCGTTCTTTGACTACATGGCTTTCAAACTCTTCCTCCGTCCAGCCATCTTCATCTTCATTGTTGAAATCGCCCTCAAGAACAACAATGTCTAATTTTATAGACGCCTCAGGCCCTGATGTTACGACGTGGCCAGTATTTGCATCGAGCAATACAACATGAATTGCAGCTCCCTGCTCCCCTTCAACTTTACCTCCCGTAAACAGGCGCAGGGACAACCTTGACCTGAAATGCAACTGCAAGTTTCTTCCATCTGGACCTTCTATTTGCTTTGGAGGAGACCTGATTCACGAGATGTATGATAATAAGAGGTTTAGATTTGAATGAGTAATCAAGTATATTAAAATAAAATATAGTTAAGAAAAAATGATCTGAATAAAGTACAATACAGGAACTTGAATGAGTAGCCGCATCACAAAAAATAAAAAAACTAACATGGTAATGTTTTCAAAATGCTGTCAAATAAAATGCTCTTAAGCTCTGAGAAATGCTTCATACTTAAGTATTAATGTAAGACATAAATGTTACCTGACTACAAAGATGCATAAATGAATATCCTTCAGGTAACCATGGGATGTAGGAAATAGGAAATAAGAAATTCAATGTGACCAAAAGATTGAACAGGACTTATCTTTAAGCAGCCTTAAAACTAAAAGGCTGAACAAAATCCAGTAAAATAAGGTCACGTCATTTTAAAATAAACCATGAAAAAATGTTTACTGGCATATTTTAAAATTTTCAATTGCAGATGTACCATCAAAACCGAACCACACACAGGTTTCTTACTTCAAGGCGACGACAACGAAAATGGCTAGAGTAGGCGAATGTTAGTCATGAATATATAATCCATAAAATAAGATGATATAAAGTTCTATAGAAAAGATGTATCCAGCAGTAAGTATTAATAGAGTTAAAATATAAAGCAAGAACATATCCAGCAGCAAGTGTCAATATCCCGCACCTTCCACCAAGTCTAGCAGGACCCAACTTTGCTAAAGCACGCTCCACTTCTTCACTAACCTATACAAGCACAAAGAAAAACGCAGAACAATCAGACAAGCAACACAAAAGAAAAAAAATATGGAACACACTAAGACAGATAAAGAGGATACTATTTATTTATAAAGATAACGGGCTTTTAGAAGAAAATATGGAAAAAAACAATTCAGTAACCAACCAGAACATGCATTCACCAAATTGATAATCCATAACAGTTTGAATCAACAGAAAATTAAAAGAATCACTCATTAAGAGGATAAACAAATACATAAAACCGTTGCATCTAATATGCAAATTACCTATGACCTCAAAGCTTAAGCAAAAGTACCCTTCCGTTAAAAGTTTGATAACGAGCTACCAGAAAAATATAGCGAAATTGAGTAATGGCAATGGCTGGAGCATCATTCGTTGAGGTTTCATCCTTTTTTCTCAAAAAGAGAAGAATATAGCGGAAAAAAACACTTCAGTAACCTACTAGAACATGCATTCATCAAATTGATAATCCATAATAGTTTGAATCAACAGATAATTAAAAGAATAAAGCAATTAAGAGAATTAAAAAACAGATTTACATAAAATTGTTGCATCTAATATGCAAATTACCTATGACCTGCTAAAGCAAAGGAACCCTCTCGGTAAAAGTTTGATGTGATCCATTCTCTTTGTATGATGTATAACAGGAGATTAAAAAAAACATATGCGTGGGCATCAAAACTAACAAGTGTTGCATATTTCTTGGCAAGAAGATAAAAAAAAGGCTAAATGCCACTTAAATACCCTATTGTTTCACCACCTTTACACTTAAATACCCTAAGTTGTAAAAAGTAGCACTTTAAAACCCTTAGTTATAAAAAAATTGCACATTAGTACCTTTTGTTAGTTTTCATAGGAATATTTTTAGGAAATTGTCTTGACAACTAAAAAGTACGAAAGTGCTACTTTTTACAACTTAGGATATTAAAGTGCTAATTTCTTGCAATTTAGGGCATTAAAAGCGCTACTTTTTACAACTTAGAATATTAAAGTGTAAAGGTGATGAAACAATAGGGTATTTAAGTGTTAGTTTTCTATAACTTAGGGTATCAAAGTGCTACGTATTACAACTTAGGGTATTTAAGTGTAAAGGTGATGAAGTATTTAAGTGCCATTTAACCAAAAACCAAAGATGAGAAGTATCTGCAAGACTACGTGCCGAACTTTTACCAAGCACTTAAAGAAATAGAATTGGCCCCTGACAAGCTCTCATACTCATAAAACCCCAAAGAACAACATATGGAGGAAAATAACAAGTAAATTGGTACATATTTTACCTTAACAGAAACAAACAAGGTCATGCACCAATTGTTCACTTCTTGACATAGGAATGCCACTTACGCCTGTTTGAAATGGTGGGTCTTATTTGGAGTAGGGGGGAGGGATGCAAATTCAAGGTTTCGACATGACTTTCGTTCACAAAAATGAATGCTCATTTAAAAGAGATAAAAACAACACAAATAAACCACACGTAAAGAGTATGGCTATTAACATATAAGAAGACCGCACAGAAAAAGGCAAGTTCCAAGCATAGTCAAAAGATCTAAATTTATTCCATGGGTAAAGGATAAAATTCTTGATATGATAATGTTGTTGATGATACGTAATGACTATTGAGTGTGAAAAGTCAAAAGAACCACAATTTAGCTCAGCTGCAAATCATAAAATAAGTACCAGCAAAAATTGTTTATCTTACAACTCTACGGAGTATAGGCTCCAGTGATGAACACAGCCTCTGCAAACTATCCACCTTGAGTGCTTCAACAATAACACTGCACAGAACAATGATCCTCAATAAATAAATACAAAGATCTAACAAAATAAAAACCCTATAAGGATTTGTAAAATATATACAAACTAAATAGGAATTTATAAGAGATAAAATAAAGAGAGATGTTGCTACAGAGCTTTAAATAGGTCAGACAGGTAGAATAAATTAATACAGAGAAGCAAAAGTATTAATAGATTCAAACACAACGTCAAAAAATCAAACATCCTGCAAGTTTGACTTACATAAGCACCCTGCTCTTCTTCAAATGATTACATGTTTCACATTCTTGAACAGGAGTAAAATTTAACAGCTATACTTCTTCGTGTTCTTCTTCTTTAAAAAAAATTAACGGCTATACTTCTTCTTCTTCTTCTTCTTCTTTTTTGGGAGAAAAATGGCTATACTTCCTTTATGCTTTTTATTAAAGTAATGATATACTACATACAAGGTCAGTTGCCTAATTGCACTAAACTGGCTGCAAGATGTTAACGTTTGTTCCAACCTCTAACCGCATAGCCAATAGGAACACGACTAAAATGACTCCCTTACTACAAAACCTCTGAATCTAATTATTTCTCCTAAAGAGTCGACCAACCCACCCTTCAGAAGGTTTAACCTATTCACAAAGAAGAACATACATTTCCGCACAAAAAATAGAAAAAATAAACTAAAGGAGATCCCTTGTCAAAGTAGAAGCACAGACATCTAAATGAGCATGATTATTTCTTCAACAAGGGGATAGTACCATATATTATCAGAGTATATACTCCCCCTAACCCAAAGTTCAGAGTTGTTTAATTCTTTACAAATCACGAATATTCTCATAGAAAGACACTACGCAGACATTTCCAGTAGCAAAGGAACCCATGAGAAATTAGTAAATAGTATCAAAAATTAAAACAAAAACCTTATGACAAATACAACTGCATACATCGATTTTCTATCACACCGTTTTCCAGTTGAAAACCCTAGAATGCAAATCCTACACAAGCATCAGAAATCAAGGTAACTAACAGCGACCGATTAGATTTTTACCTAGCGAGAGCTGGGACCTTGGGGCGCTTGGCCTCGGGCTGCTTATCTTCGCCATCGTGATCCTGATCCAAACCCCTTTTCTCTCTCGCCATCGACAGCTTCCTCTCTAGAAACTTCCCGTTCGTCTTCTGCATTCTTCAAACCCTAGATCCCTCAGATCTGAAACCACAAATTCCACCCCCAACAACCAAATCCCTACAAACAAATGACAGATTTAAAGCGTGAGATCCATCGGAACCCCAGCCAAAATCTCATAAAATAAGGGGTTTGGAAAGTTACGAGACTGTTAATTTTTTCGCCTGAGAATGAGAGAGAGAGAGGGGGGGAGATTCTCTTTCTCGTTCTTTGATTTTAATGGCGGCCGAAAAAATTGTGGGTTTCTGCGCTGCGGTCTCTCTGTACTTATCACCTCTGCTTTTTGACGGCTCTTTTTTTTTATTATTGAATAACGGTAATGTTTCATATACACCCTTAACGTTATTGATATTTAATATTATTACATAAATCATCACAATCGCTAATAAACCATTCAATTTAAGGAATAAAATTATGATATTCTTTTAAATTAATTAATCTGAGACTATTAAAAATATATATACAAAATATCTGACTCAAATGAAGGGCTTATTACTTTAATAATAATACATTATACATTTTTTTTGTAACGATTGATTTAATCAAAAGTATCTTCGTTCTTTCCAAACTTTTAATTATTTTAATAGAAAATTACTTTATCGTTCTTCAAAGGTTACAGTGGACAGTAAAATTAAGGAATTGCGTAACATGGGAGTACAAAGCAGCTACGATGATTTTCGAATATAATTGTTAAAATTATCTATAATTCTGAGGATTCTTTGATTATCTAAATAGAAGAAGGTTAGCAATATACTTTGTCGCAACGCATGCGTGGATATAGGGATGGCCCATGGTGGGCTGATGGCCCATGGTGGTTGCTGGGCCCACGCGCTTTTGGATTTAATGTGGGTTCAAATATCTAGAGTCGGGGGTTTGTAAATATCTAGAGTCGGGGGTTTGTAAACATGTTATTAGCTTTGTTTATGACTTAGCTGTTTTTTATATGAAAAATGATAGGGGCACACCCCTAACCATAATCTTAACCACACCTCCTCTTTCATTTGCTACAGTGCACTGGGTCCCACATGAGATTTTAAACTTTTAAAATCTCATGTGAGACCCGGTGCGCTGTAGCAAATGAGAGAGAGGTGTGGTTGGGGGTGTGCCCCTAGTGCCAAATGCAAGATCAAACGTACGCAAAATTCATGTATTTGGATACGTAATTTGCTAACGTCCATCGTCAGCAATAGAAGAGAAAATCTGAACGGTCGAAAATTGATGCATTTAAAATGATGTAGCTTTCTATCACTTTTTGGGTAGTCTTATTTTGGAGAGAATAGCTCACACATTGATCCTTAACATAAGAGAGAGAGATCAAGATAAGAATATGGATTTGGTGGCGTGTCATGTGATGTCAACCGTTTGCTCAAAATGACATCTTTTTGCATGGATAGTTAATGTTCTAAAATTTTCTAACCAAAAAAGAAAAATGAAAGGAAGAGGAAAAAATGTTCTTTTATTGATTTTCTCCATCTGAACATTTTACAATGTTTTTTTCCTTTAAAAAAAATAGTATTTGTAAATTAATTTTTGTTGATGCTCAATATCAAACAGCCGATTAATCCATAAGAGAATGGTCGCGAGTTGATGAAGGATGATGGAGGGACCGTTCTTTTATGCCTAATTCTCAAAAGATGGCTTGATGTCCACGCTGCACAAACAAGAATAACCCGTGAGAGGGCGGGAACCGGTTCCCCCGTGGTTCCTCCAACGGTCAAGTTAGTAAAACTCGAGTGGAGAAGTGGAAGGTCAAGAACCGATGTGATTTTTAAGGTGGCAAGGTGTGTGCCCAGAGGATCTACGTGAGCTCCTGTATGGACGAAGAACTGTGTGTTCTTGTTTTTGTGTCATCTATGCTTTAGAGGGTTTTAGATTGCTCACCTCCCTCACTGGCGATGGCCAATAGCATTTGTATATATAGAGGATGATCCTCTGCAGACTGGTCACTTCGGCCATGTAAATGGCGGTGACAAAGTGTGAGCTGGAAAGTGAGTCTTCCTTCGCTTCACAGGTGTCGACTGACGACTGGAGGGGAAATCACTTCGTCACGGGAGAGGGTGTCTTTGCATTCTCCAGGAAGTGATTGATAGCGTGACAGAAGTTACGTGGGCATATTGAATCATCCCTCGCTTTTCAGGTGTCGACTGGTGACTGGAGGGGAAGTCACTTCGACATGGGAGAGGGTGTTTCCGCATTTTCCGGGAAGTTGTTGAGTTGACAAGTCATAGAGACTTATCAGGCCAAAATCCAGATAAGGCTTGTCCGAGGTGGACGGAGATGTCGACATATGCTCTGGGATAGAGGCTTGGAGCTGGGATCGAATTCTCAATTTAATTGATAGCAGGGGATGTCCCTCCAGTTGCTTTTGAGAATTGCCCAGTGAGTGGTCGAGTGCCCTAAGTAGGGTCGTCCTTTATGATAGGGTCGAAGACACCGCCTTTTGCGTTGACTCCAGGAATGTCGGCCTGTCCGACTGGTTAGAACGTTGTCTCGTCTCAACTAATAATCGTCTCTTGAGTCGATATAAAGATGTCGACTTGTATAGGAGGTCAGGATCTCTCGTGCCGACCAATATCGCTTTTGATGACGACACCAGAGAGTCGACTTGATAAGTTAGTGAGGGCCGAGTCCTCTATGGTCGTGTCTTGGGTTTGTCCCTGATAAGGTACCAATGTCTTATAATTAGCCATGATGGTCGAGTTGTATTGGAGGATTCGATCATCTGTCGTGCCTTGGGCTTATAATTCGACTAAGGAATCAAATGCTTAGAACTTTTGAAAGTTGACTAGGGCTCTCATTGTATCATTTTACAAATATCCGTATCTTGGGTGAGTGAACACCATAACAATTTTGAAAAGGTATTTTTCAGAAATTTAAAAAAAAAAAATTAGTTGACCTGCCAAACTAGTCACGGATTACACTTAAATGTTATGTGTTTCTAACCTATTAATCTAATGATCGTGATTAAACAAACCTGTAACATAAGACTAAAACACCATGTGAGGGAACGTCCCGAATGTTAATTTGTAAGCACGATAGCTTGTGTTTATAGATAATTTATTTGCATAGATTAAGGGCTCGTTATGATTTGGACTTATAGTGAAGGAGAGTTAATGGGAACAAGTAAACCTTGTGTGGGAAACTAGTAAGAGGAGTCAATGAGCCTCGTTTCAGAAGTTTAATAAAGTGAGGGGAATATATGTAAACTTACATAATTAACATTGCATGTAAGTTAACTAAGTCATTTTATTATTAGAAGTTAAATAAATGAACAAATTTTCGAATTAAACCCATTTAATTTTTTAATTATAAAAATCGACTCAATCATCTTTTTATTAGTAAAACCGACCCATTTCGTGCCACGTCAGCAGCGTGGCCACGAAATGGGTCGGTTTTTTTTAAATAACGCCGCTAAATAGTCGGGATTGCCAACCCCGACTATTTAGTTATGTCGGGATTGGCAACCCCGACTATTTAGCCATAGGCAAGCTAAAATAGTCGGGGTTTCCAACCCCGACTAATTTAGGCCCCTCTCTAATTGGTCGGGGTTGGCAACCCCGATCATTTGGCAGAGAGGTAGCTGATATTTATTTTGCTATGACAAAATGGTCGGGTTTGGGAACCCCGACCGTTTCGTGTTCGTGCACAAAATGGTCGGGGTTCCCAACCCCGACCATTTGGCAGACTCTTCCAGCTGAACATAGCTGGAAATACGAACTCCGCTGGAAATTCAAACTCGTGCTGTTACATATCAATCCACAATGCAATCACAATCACAATAACACACATACCAATCAATAATCTCAACATTAAAAATCCATAATCAATCGGATACATACCATGCAATTCACATACTAATAATCAATACTCAATCGAATACATAATATTTAGTTTCAAACGCAAACATCCTATCAATACTCAATCAGATACATAATATTCAGTTTCAATCGGATACAACTCCATTTCCTCTCCCTCTCCCTCTCCCTCTCCCCCTCCCTCTCCCCCTGACATGTTCACCTTCGACGTGAGCTCGGATCAGTTCCTCGTCCGGTTGTGTGTGAAGTTGGGAGTGCATGACATCCTCATCGACTCGAACCGACTGTGAACATCCGGCTTGGGCCTGCTGTGAGCCGCCAGCTTCATCATGTGCACCGCTTGAGCCTACCCCTGTGTGTCCTCGGAACCGGCGACGACCGTACTCAATTGGTCGCTCCTCACGTCCATCTCGTCTTGCATTACGCGTCCTTTGAAGAGCGGACCGAATCTTTTTGATCATGCGAAGGAACGTGTTCCTCCGTCCTGGCTCGGTAGTCGTTCGGATTGCATCATGCGCCATAGTAGAAAGTTCCTCGAGCTCTTGTACCTATACAATAAAAACCCCAAGAAAGCTATTATGATTTGGATGATAATAAAATAAAACTCACAAGATAACTGTATATTTTGCTTATACACTTACCAACTCTCTCTCAACTGGGCCTCTTGGTATGTATTCCTTAGGGGCTTTGTTCTCCTGAAATATCCACCGGCGAGTAATCCCCCAATACCACCGCAAATACATACCTAGGTCAGGTGTGTCAACCCTCTCCATCACCAACTGTTCTTCCCTGTTATCCCACCTCCCGATGTAAGCACTATGAATATGTTCCCAATCTTGATGATGTGCACCTTTTCTGGGATTTCTCTCTATTATCTCCACAGGGCCCGGGATATGTTGTTGTAGCCCAAATTGTCGGAGCACATGGTCGGGCACGTGCATCTCGACAATCTCAAAACATATGATCGGGACGCGAGCACGCTACACATCTGGCTCTTCTGTGCATATATCTGGTAGTGACTCTAAAACTTGTTCATATGGCATCCACTTGACCTATAAAAAGATAAAGTAAAGCAGATTTCAGTAATAAATTATGTAATGATTGAAAATTTTTAGATATTATGATTTAATACATGTTCGTCCTCCATTTGATCGAGCTCGTTCCTATAGAAGTTTTCATGGCCCTTTGGTGAGGTATGCCAAGATCTAGATACATTCCATCTAATTTATATACAATGAGTTAGTATAAATTAAAATAAATGTATAAAATTACATGTAATCATATATTTTTTTAAACAACTTAGTAATACCTGCAGCCTAACGGAATATGGCCATCGAGAGTATGTGCCTCTCTCAAATCTGGGCAACCCAAATACAATCTCTCCCAAGACCATATTTGTAGCAGAGTGAGACAACCCTTGAATTCTTTGTTTTGAACAAGAGCCACTTTGGT